AAAGCTCTGATGAATGTAAGATAGTGGGCCTATAACCATCTCAGATGCAGAAGGAGGCTCCTGGGTTGCTGCTCTGGGTGCAGAGGGAAGGAGAGGACAACACTTAATGAAGAAGAAGGGGAGGAACTAAGAGCTGAGTTTGAGCAAAAGGCAGAGAGAGCCTAAAGCTGTTATTTAGTAAAAGGTCAGGCAATGCACTTTTCTTCTTAAAAATAAGCAGCAAAAAGCAAGAGGACATGCTGTCTCAAATCCTCGTGACTGAATATCCAGCTGGTGGCTGAGCAGTGAAAAGCAGGAGGATGGTTTCCATTCACAGGGCCGAGGGATGAACTGTACTCCCCTTGAGCCAGAAAAGTAGGACCTAGGGGATGGGTAGGGTGGGGTGAGCCTAGGAGCACAGAGCACAAGCCAGAAAGAACATCCCACAGTCCTGCTCTAGGAGGATGAAAAGAGCAGGACTTTGGAGGCAGAAAGACATGTTTGATTTCCAGCTCCACAATCACAAGCTGTGTGTGACCCCTTGTGCAAATTATCTAAGCTCTCTGAGACCTGATTTTTGCATCTATAAAATGGGTTATAATGAGACCTACCTCACTGGGATAGCTGGAAAGATTAGAGGAGATGGTGCGTGTGAAATTTCAAACAGTGTCTGGCACATTGTAGGGATGACCTTTTCACAGCAACAGGGATAAGGAGAGGAAGGAGGGTGAAGGGGAGAGTTGGCTCTGTCACTCATTTGGTGACTTTGGATCTCAGTTTCCTCATCTGTAAAATGAAAGTAATAACATGATCTATACCCTACCCAGTTACCATAAAGAGCAAATAATATGGTACATTTACAGCTAGTTCATTCCTTTTACCTATAGTATCACTATTTCATTATTCTATTCTACCACAGTTTATGATCCATTCCTCTACCTATGGACATTTAGTTTCCAATGTGACAGGTTCTTAAGATGTCTGTCCTCTTCTAATGCAACTATTTCTTTAAGGCAGCTAATTAGAAGTAGAATTACTGAGTAACAGGGTATATATATAAAACTAACAATTATATAATGTTGATAATAACATATTGATAATTAATTATATAATAATGAAATACATAATTATATATAAATATATAATATATAATTATATGTGATATATTAGATATATTATTTAAATAGATAGTACCAAAATTCTCTACAAAGTGGTTGTACCAATGTATACTCTTACCAGTAGTATATGAGAGCATCTGCTTCCCCCACCCCAACCTTCCAAACTTCTCACTTTTAATATGATACATTTTTGGGCTTTTGCCAATGTAATTTTTTTTTTTAATAAAGATGTTTCTTCTTTTTTTTTTTTTTGAGACAGGGTCTTGATCTGTCGCCCAGGCTAGAGTGCAGTGGCCGATCTTGGCTCACTGCAACCTCCACCTTCTGGGCTCAAGCAATCCGTCCACTTCAGCTCCCCAAGTAGCTGGATCTACAGGTGTATGCCACTACGCATGGCTAATTTTTGTATTTTTTGTAGAGACGGGTTTTACCATGTTGGCTAGGCTGGTCTCGAACTCCTGACCTCAAGTGATCTGCCCACCTCCACCTCCCTAAGTGCTGAGATTATAGGTGTGAGTCACAGTGCCTGGCCTGGATGTATCATTTTTGAATTGCATTCCCCTGATTATTAGTAATGTTGAGCATCTTTTCATGTGCATTGGGCATTTGTATTTCTTTTTTAACAAAGTAAATTTTTCTCCTCTTTTAAGGTATACTTGTATCAATCCTGCCTTGTTTTATATACAGTTGATTCTCATTATTCATGGTAGTTATGTTCTATAAAGTCACAGCAAACACTAAATTAACAAATACTGAATTATTGCTCCTGGGGGAAATACAAGGTTAGGTTCCTGTGAGCCTCTGGTCACATTTTTGTCAACTGATCAATATGTAACTTTGTTTTTCTATGTGTGTTTCTGTTTCAAGTGACCTTATTTAATATGTTATTGATTCATTAACATTGAACTCATGGCCAACAGCACTATAACCTAAAATTCATGTCTCTAAAACATCAAAAACAGGCTGGGCATGGTGGCTCACACCTGTGAGCACCTTGGGAGGCCAAGGCGGGCAGATCACCTGAGTTCAGGAATGCAAGACCAGCCTGGCCAACATAGTGAAACTCTGTCTCTACTAAAAATACAATAAAAATTAACTGGACATGGTTGTGGGTGCCTGTAGTCCCAGCTACTTGGGAGGCGGAGGCAGGAGAATTGCTTGAACTCGGGAGACAGAGGTTGCAGTGAGCTGAGATCGCACCACTGTACTCCAACCCGGGTGACAGATCAAGACTCCATCTCAAAAAATAAAAATAAAAATAAACCAAAACAAAACAGTGAAATCACCAATTAAAAATAAGAAAAACGCAAAAATCATGGCACTAAATAGACTGAGAAAAGGACACTTGCTTATACCATGAGAGTTGCAAAGAGAAGGCAGAGCATACCTTATTCAATATCACCTAAGATACATGTGTAAATCAAATTTTTTGCTACTCTGTGCGTGCACACATTTACAAATGACCTCAGAATTGCCTTGAGTATTGATGTTGACGTTACAAGTAAATTTTAGCAAGTAGGCAAATTTGCAAATACAGAATTGGAGAATAATGAGGACTAATTGTGTATGTGTGTGTGTGCGTGTGTGTGTGTGCATGTGTAGATATTTAATGTAATATAATATCTTTGCAGTCCATCACTTTTTTTTAACTTCACATACAGTGTCATATTATTTGTACTTGATGTAGGGACATTTGCCAATCTTTTCCTTTATTTTTTAGAAAATTATACATTTTATACAAATTCCTATATTTTAATTAGTCTGTTTCTGGACTCTTTCTAGTCTAGGTTTTTCAACTTTAGTACTCTATTCTCTACTCTAGAGTTTCTCAACTGGTACTATTGACATTTTGGGCCAGATAATTCTTTGTTGCAAGGTACTGTCCTCTTTACTACAGGCTGTTAAACAGCATCCCTGGCCTCTGCCAATAGATATCAATGGTATCCCTTCCCCGATTGTGACAACCAAAAATGTTTACAGACATTGCCAATTGTCCTGAGGGAGCAAATTTGTACTCAGTTTAAAACCACTGCATTGCCCAATTCTATTTGTCAATTTCTGTGCCAATATCACAAAACTTATATTTTTAAACAGAAATCCTGTATTTTTAAAAATATCCCACTGCCTGATAGAGCAAATCCCTCCTCTTCTTTGTTTTCCAAAATTGTGTTGTTCACTGTTCCACCTGTATGCCTCTAGATTAACTTTAGAATTAATTTGACAAATTTCATGAAACATTTTAATTTATTTTTATATATAGGTTAATTTAGGAAGGACTGGCATTTCTATGATATTGAGCCTTTCTATCCACATACGTGCCATATCTCCCATATAGTCAGGTTCTTTTATGTCTTTCATTAACCTTTATAATTATTCTCTATAAAAGGTGAAACCAGCTGTGTGCAGTGGCTCACACCTGTAATCCCAGCACTTTGGGAGGCCAAGGTAGGTGAATTGCTTGAGTCCAGGAGTTCGAGACCAGCCTAAGCAGGGTGGCGAAACCCCATCTCTACTAAAAATACAAAAAATTAGCCAGGTGTGGTGCTGCACGCCTGTAGTTCTGCTATTCAGAAGGCTGAGGTGGGAGAATCACCTGAGTCCAGGAGTGCCAGGCTACAGTGAGCCATGATCATGCCACTGCATTCCAGCCTGGGTGACGAGAGTGAGACCTTGTCTCAAACACCACAAAAAACGTTGAAGCCTCAACTGTCTCTGGTCTTCACCAGGCTGGGTCTACATGCAGATGTTTTTCTCTTCCCCTGCCACTGCCTCTCAGGTCTTTCTCCCTCCAAGGGGAGCCAGCTGAATCCTTCCACCCTCAAAAGTGACCCCTCCTGCTTTTCGCTGCTCAGACACAGCTGGATTATTCACAGTCATCAGGATCTGAGAAGGATTCTTGTGCTGCTGCTTGTATTTTTATTGTTAACTTGGAAAGTTCGTGTTTACAAATGATGGCATTCAGTCCTCTCTTTCTCTGAGACTTGGCTACTACTACCTCCCCGATGCCTCCTGTCACCCTTCCTTCGTCTTTTTTTTTTTTTTTTTTTTTTTGAGAAGCAATCTTGCTCTGTCACCCAGGCTGGAGTGCAGTGGTGCGATCTCGGTTCACTGCAACCTCCGCCTCCCAAGTTCGAGCGATTCTCCTGCCTCAGCCTCCTGAGTAGCTGGGATTACAGGTGCGCACCACCATGCCTGGCTAATTTTTGTATTTTTAGTAGAGACAGGGTTTCGCCATGTTGGCCAGGCTGGTCTTGAACTCCTGACCTTGTGATCCGCCTGCCTTGACCTCCCAAAGTACTGAGATTACAGGCGTGAGCCACCGCACCTGGCCCAGAGACTTGTATCTTTCACAGTACCTTTCAGGAAGTTGTCAAAATGTGTGCAAAAAAGGCTTGTGAAAAAGCAACACTTTTTTTTCTTGACCCCTTAGAGGCTCTTGATAACCTATAGTAATGAAGAAATGCATAGTCTGGAACATCAGATTATTTTTAAAAAACACATACACACAATAAAAGTGCTTGTATTTCATTTCTGATAAATTATGAGTTTGGAAGCAGCAAATTTTAACAATTAATTATATTTTGTTTGAGTTCATATTAAAATCAGTTTGCATTCCCCAAGGCTAACATTAAAACATCATCTTAGAAAATCCACAACATGGATTAATCTTTGTGTGACAAATGGACTGTTGTCTACATTAAATTATTTTGACAAACACTGTAAACATGAAGAGTCTGGGATGAAAATGTTTAGATCATGAATCTCCTGAAAAATGTGCTGCTGCTTCTGCATATTCCAGGAATAGTCATGAGGCAAATGTTCCAAACATCATTTCTACATTTCTCCCCACTGAAAAGGTGCTAGTTTACTGAATACAAGGACATCACCTGGCAACTTCCTTACCTGCTGTCTGTAAGCTCAAGCCCAGGTCCAACTTTGTGTGGGGCTTAGAGCTGATGAACAGGTAGCAGAGCACACAGGCGGTAACAATGAAGGTGAGAAGGACCATTGCTGCTACAGACAGGCCCACGAGAGCGCCAATGCTGGGGAGAGAAGACCACATGGGAGCTGAGAGTCAGGAAGGGACTTGGGAGGCAGATGTTATAAAAGTGTTGTAGCTAGGCTAGAATGAGTCTGCTGGGAAGAAAATGTACAGAATAAAAATATTTTTTTAAAAATTTAGGTCAGGCACAGTGGCTCATGCCTGTAATCCCAGCACTTTGGGAGGCCGAGGCGGGCAGATCACTTAGGGTCAGGAATTCAAGACCAGCCTGGCCAACATGGTCTAAATACTAAAAATACAAAAATTAGCCGGACGTGGTGGTGGCTCCTGTAATCTGTAATCTCAGCTACTCGGGAGGCTGAGGCACTAGAATCACTTGAACTCGGGAGGCGGAGGTTGCAGTGAGCCGAGATCGTGCCACGGCACTCCAGCCTGGGTGACAGAGCAAGACTCTGTCTCAAAAAAAAAAAAAAAAAAATTTGTGTTGTGTTGTAGGAATCAGCTTTGACTTTTGTTTTGTCCCTACTTATCTTAAACAAGCTTTCTATGCTTTAGCGTGGGAAAGAAAGTGCACCAACTATACGCAAAGGACTCACCACCAAGGACTCATACCTGACCCCGCTCAGCAGCACCATCTCCTTCCCTCCCTACTTTCCTCACCTGCTCCCACCTCAGGGAGCTGGAGATGGTCCTAGGGGACCCCCCATACTGCTGTTTCTTAAGAATCAAGACACATATAGTAGGCCTTAGTTAAAAGCCAGCTGTCCTTCCAGGCTTAGGTAATTTCTTTTCTTTTTGTTTTAAGACAAGGTCTTTGCTCTGTTACCCAGATTGAACTGCAGTGTTGCCATGTTGGCTCACTGCATCCTCAACCTCCTGGGCTCAAGCAGTCCTCCCATCTCAGCCTCCTGAATGGCTGGGACCACAGGTGTGTGCCACCACACCCAGCTAATGCTTTTGTATTTTTTTAAGAGATGGGGTTTTGCAATGTTGCCCAGGCACTTGAGCTCAAGCAATCTACCCACTTTTGCCTCCCAAAGTGCTGGGATTACAGGCATGAGTCACCACACCTGGCACCCTGTCCCACCGCACCCCCCGCCGTCCCCCACCCTTTTTTTTTTAAAAAAAAAATAGAGACCAGGTTTTCTGCATTGTCCAGGCTGATCTCAAACTTCTGGCCTCAAGCAGTCCTCTCACCTCAACCTCCCAAAATGTTGGAATCACAGGCATGAGCCAACCGTGCCCAGCCAAGCCTCAGGTAACTTCTGACCCAACCTCCATTGTTCTGCTCACCACGTCAGTGTCAACTCCATGTCTCAAATACCTCTCCACTGCTGGTCCCTCACCCTCTAACCTCACTGCCTCTGCCCCAGATCAGGCCTTGGTCACCTGGTCTGAAGGAAGAAACAGCTTCGTTTTTTCCTCCCACAACACTCAACACAACACTTCTGACACCAGATGTATGGGGGGTTTTCCCCCACACATCAAGCAATTCTCCAGCAGACACCAACTGGGTGTCCTATAATTTGATTCAATTCTGGCACCATCTCTAGGCAAATAGTGTCAGCTCCCACAGGTTACGGCCTCAGTCCTGCCCTCCCATACCAATTGCAAGTAGTAGGTTGTCACCTGTACTTCTGACCCACCAGCTATAAATCAGTGTGCCCATGGCCCCTTCCTTGGGTTTGATTAATTTGCTAGGACAGCTCACTGAACTCAGAAAAACACTTATGTTTACCGGTTGATTAGGAAGAAGGATATTACAAAGGATGTAGATGAATGGCCAGATGGAAGAGATACATAAGGCAAGGTATAGGGGAGGGCCGTGGAGCTTCCATGTGGTCTCCAATCACACAACCCTTCAGGGACCTCCACGTGTTCAGCAATTCAGAAGTTCTCTAAACCCTGTCTTTGGGATTTTATTGGTGATCAACTCAACCTCTGGGCCCTCTCCCCTCCCTGGAGGTTGGAGTGAGGTGGGGCTGTAAGTTTCAGTGCTCTAATCACATGGTTGGTTTCCCTGGCAACCAGCCCCCATCCTGAGGCTCTCCAGGAGCCCACCGTGAGTCATCTCATTAGAACAAAAGATGCTCTTATCACCCAGGAAATTACAAGGAATTTAGGAGCTCTGTGTCAGGAACTGGGGGTTCAGAGATCAAATTTTAGAACGAATGATGCTCCTAGCCTCTCTATCTACAAGGGCTTTAGGAGCTTCAACTCAGGAACCAGGGGCAGAGACCAAATATGTGTTTCTTTTTTTTTTTTTCTTTCTTTTCTTTTTTTCTTTCTTTTTTTTTTTTTTTTGAGACGGAGTCTTGATTCTCCTGCCTCAGCCTCCCCAGTAGGCAGGATTATAGAGCTCAAGTGATTCCCCTGCCTTCAACCTCCCAAAGAGCTGGAATTACAGGCATGAGCCACCGTGTCCGGCCAAAACCATGTTTAATCAGCCTTATCCTCTCATTGTCTAGACCCTGGCCTGTGGTAGGCAGTTGGTAAATACAGTTTGGTACCTACTATGCACTCTCCCAATGAGAAGGCATAGGTGGCATCAGGCTTTGTCTTTGCCTACCCTTTCTTCTCTAGCTCTCCTGCCTATCTTCTTCCCTGACTCTGGCCCCAGACTCCTGCCCTTGCCACTTGTGCAGGATTTCGCTCCCTGTTAGTTAATGGCTAATTTCACTCAACCAAAACACCTGAGAGCTTTGAAGAGTCTGCCTTCCCATCTAAATAAATTATTGGACTCTCTGCAATGGAACAGTATAGCATATATAGAGACCTTATTAATGATATAGATGTTTTCAGGCAGGGCACTGTGGCTCATACCTGTAATCCCAGCACTTTGGGAGAACGAGGTGGGTGGATCACTTGAGCCCAGGAATTTAAGACCAGCCCAGGTAACATGGTGAAACCCTGTCTCTACAAAAAATACAAAAATTAGCCTGTCAAGGTGACCACACGCCTGTAGTCTCAGCTACTCAGGAGGCTGAGGAGAAAGGGTAGCTGGAGCCCAGGAGGTGGAGGCTGCGTGAGCCATGATGGTGCCACTGCACTCCAGCCTGGGTGACAGAGCAAGACGCAAGACTCTGTCTCAAAAAAGCCAAAAATGTTTTCAGATCTTTTAGATTTTAATTTTTCCTTTTTTCTTTTTTTTTTTGAGATGGAGTCTCGCTCTGTAGCCCAGGCTGGAGTGCAGTGGCACAATCTCGGCTCACTGCAAGCTCTGCCTCCCGGGTTCATGCCATTCTCCTGCCTCAGACTCCTGAGTAGCTGGGACTACAGGTGTCCGTCACCACACCTGGCTAATTTTTTGTATTTTTAGCAGAGACAGGGTTTCACCGTATTAGCCAGGATGGTCTCGATCTCCTGACCTCGTGATCCACCTGCCTCGGCCTCCCAAAGTGCTGGGATTACAGGTGTAAGCCACTGCGCCTGGCCTAGATCTTAATATCTAAGATAAGAGATAAATTTTTATGAACTTATTGATAATATTCATTGAAAAGAACAAGGCATACTACTAATTACATGGCATAACCCCAATTTAACTAAATAAGTATACATATATACTTAACTATACACATGTACACAATCAAGGTTGATGGAGATACACCAACTAACAGGCTGTCTCTGGGCAGTTCAGGATGTGGAGGTCCTGTCTGGGGCCCCTTGGATCTTATCAGTGTGGAATACTCTGATATTCTGGCCAAAGTTTCCTTCTTTTTTTTTTTTTTTTTCTGAGACAGGATCTCACCCTGTCACCCAGGCGGGAGTACAGTGGCACCATCATGGCTCACTGCAACCTCAACCTTCCGGGCTCAAGTGATCCTCCTGCTTCAGCCTGTTGAGTAGCTGGGACTACAGGCATGTGCCACCACACTGAGCTAATTTTGATATTTCTTTGTACAAACCGGGTTTCACCATGTTGCCCAAGGTTGTGTCCAACTCCTAGGCTCAAGCAATCTGCCTGCCTTGGCTATCCTGTCCAAAGTTTCTATTGCCAACAGCTGTTATCTCTTTGTTTGAGGGGTTTCTTGGGCCCAGAACAGGCTCCATGGACACATTGGCAAGTCAATAGTACAGGATAATCAATGCTGTCCTTACCCCACCAGTCCATGACCAATGACTGACAGAAATTGTTAGCTAAATATCCAGCTTCCTGGCCATCAGGTGGGATAACCCTGAGGAGTACATTCTATACTGGCTGGCAGAGTTTAAGCTCCAGTTACCTCTGGTGTAATTTGCTTGGTAATACACCATTGTTGGATTCTTCCCCTCCCTGTCTCACTTTCTCATCCTCTATCAGTGATTTTTGGGATCACTTTCCACGTAAACTACTTGCCATCAAATTCTCATCTCAGAGTCTTCTGGTGAATCCAAGCTTAGACACTGGATTACTCATGACTTCTTTCTCTTTTTGTTTCTCTTGTGCTTTTCATATTTTTTACATTGAGTATGTAGAGCTTTTCAGTTCTTTAGTTACTTTAATTAAACGTTGTTTTCTCATTTGAGATACACTTACTGTTCATAGGGCTGTTATCTGGGAGACTTGTGCTTTGCTTGGGACCCGTGTGTGGGACAACGCTGGGTACCTGGATGGAAAGGGGCCTCTAAGAGAGGCTCTTTGAGGAGTGAGGGGGAGAGTTTTGTTTGTCCCCGTCTACCATTCTTTCTCCAGCCTTCTTGTCCATCCTCTTCTATGACTCTGGGGTGATATGTCCCAGATGGGAGGTCAGGGGGGCAGACACTGTCTCTGCTGATCTGTCCTGGTGACAGAGGAACCAAACTCCAAGGACAGAGTTGGGAACAACAGGGTAGGCTCCAAAGAAGGAAAATCTGTGCTTAGCATGAGATGAACTTCAAATGATCAGAGTCGTCCCATGGTGAATGTACTGCCTCAAGCGGGGATGAGTCCCTGTCATGGGAGAAGCTTGTGCAGGACACATGAATGAGTTACATCTTTCAGTGAAGTTAGAGATTCCTACCCTGGGTAGGAAATTGGATTAGAGAGCCTCGGGCCTTCGAGGATTTCACTGTTCTGACTCTGAAAGATCAAAACCCACTATGACTCCTAAGAAAGAATTGGAGGGACAGCCTAACAACCAAGGGCTTTAGAGTCAGGTAGTTCTAAGTTCAAATCCTGGTTCTGCCAACTGAAAAATCACTTTACCACTCTAACCTTCATTTCCTTCATTTATAAACGTTTCTATCTCACCAGGTGGTGGGAAGGACAAAATGAGGTGCTGTAGACACGGTCTGACCACAAACTCTGCCTTCCTGCAAGGCTGCTGTCTTCTGGCTCACACCCTGGTAAAAACACAGAACTAGTGATGGAGGAGGGTGTTTGGCAAGTGGACCAGACAGTGTGACAGCACCAACTGCTTCTGCACAGGGTGTCTTCACTTCCTGAGGCACAATTTTAAAGATAGCAATTCTCCTTGAGCACTGTCTCTCCCAGGAAACAGTGCTTACCTGGAGATTTTGATGTTTTTAAGGACTGGCTTTCATGAAAAGAGACAAATGGAATTTACAGCAAAACAAGGTCTCCACCCTGCAATATGCTCTGTTAGAAGCATGCCGGAAGAGTTATTTCAAGGTTCAGAGCACGTTGATGCCCTAGACATCCTGAGGACTTTCAGTTCCTCTCCTGCACTTTGCAATTGTCTGTGGTATTTATGAATCACATTATGTCTGAGTCCAGGAAGAGTCACCCTAGAGCCTTTTAGCCACTTGGGGTCACAGAATGGGAACACACTGATCCCACAGAATGGGATGTGACCTCAGAGATCAGCCCATCCAAACCCCAACGAGAGCATTGTCTGAGCCACTAAAGCATGCCACGTCAGAGTTTCCAGGGCAACGGAAGGGACCACAAGGCACAAGAGCTGCAGAGGGAAGAGGCTAGTGGAAGAGGGAAGGAGTCCTGGCTGGGTGCTGAGAGAATTACTCACCTCTGTGTGCCCAGGGGCCAGCACAGTGCCCAGAAGACACTAGAGGGTCAGTGAGTATTTTTCAGATCATCTGAGTGGATCAGGTTATAAGAGAGATTCAGACAGTAGTAGACAGGACAAGCCAGGGCTTGGGATGAGACAGGCCTGAGTTTTCAACCCAGCTCTGCCACTGCCTCTCACTGGGACCCTCGCAGATAGTAACAACCTCTCTCAAGTTTTCTCTTGTGTAAAATGAGGAGAAGTGCCAGGGTTGTGAATGCGTGAGAGCATCTAACCTCTGGAGAGTCTTAGGCAATGTTCTTTAAATCTCAGTCTGCTACGATATTGCTAGGAGATCCCGGACAATTCACTTCCACACTGAATTTCACTTCCCACACCTATGAACCAAGGAAAGGGAACTCTTTTATTGAGCACCTACTATATGCACTGGTCACTTTCATGTGCGTTATTTCTCTTAGTTCTTACAACAATTCCATCACAAATATCTCTATCACCATTTTAAAGTTGAGAGAAAATACCAGAAAGTTAAATAACTTTTCCAATCCACCCAGATAATAAGTGACAGGTTCTGACCAGCCCCAAAGCTCCACACTGTCTCTGTACTTACAAGGGAGGTCAGTACCGTCTTATTTCAACACCTAGCTCAATGCTAACTACATAGTGGGCCTTCAACAAAACTTCATTGTTTCACTTTAGGTGAATGCTGTGAAAGTGCCCTAGCGAGTATTATCACAGTGAGAGAAATCTGATACAGAAAAATTATCACAGTGAGAGAAATCTGACATAGCTGACTCCATCTTGCGTCTAACTTTCCAGTTGTCTTTCTTAATTCCTGGGCACAGGCCAAGTTAACTGTAAGAGGAATTTAGTTTATAGTTTAACCCTAAACCAAAGATGATAACAGCCCCTTCCTAAAACTAACACCCTCCTTGCTCAGGGACTGCAACTGCCTTTGTTAAACTAACAAATTAACCACAAGGTTAGAATTGTTGGTTCAGGAGTCATGTAGCTGGAGGTCACATGATTTGTAATCTCCTCAACTCCTCCTACAGGAGGAGTTGTAAAACCTAAAACTGGTGTTTGAGGTATCTTTCAGACCTTGCATTTTGATAGACCATTTGGTGCCACCTGGACTAGTAACCCATACTAGAAACTGGCTCAACTGGTTTTGTGAGCCCCCCTACCCAGCAACTGACTCAGCACAAGAAGGTAGCTTTGATCCCCCACAATTTTATCCTTAATCCAACCATTTGGCATTCCCTATTCCCTAGCCCTGTCTGCCACCAATGCTTGAAAAACTATAGTCTCTGAATTCTCTGGTGGGGTGGGGGGTGGGGAATGAGGGTGTGGATTTGAGAATTATGTCCTACTTTGCCACTTGGTTGGCCCTGTGATTATTAAACTCTTTCTTTGCCACAAAACCTGTTGTTCTCAGTGCATTGGTTTTTCTGGGCAGCAAGCAAAATGAACTTGTCAAGTGATTACCGTTGTATCTCTAAATACACTGTGAGTTCCTCAGGGGCAGGGAATAATTGATTTTTGTGTCTCTAATGCCTTGCAAAGTGCCTGGCACAAAGTAAAGGCTAGAATGAATGAATGAATGAATGAATGAATGAATATACGGATGAACAGAAAATACATTAATATAATTCCCTGGGTTATAAATAGCACAAATGTGTAGGATCTGATAACCTGGCCATCTGAAAATCATTTAGAATTGTGGATCGAGTCACCTAGAAAAAGCGATAATATTTGTAATTGTCATTGGCATATGTCAAGTTGATTTCATCTCTGTTATGTCATTTGACCCTCACCACTGCCTTAGTCAGAAATCAGGGCAATGATAGATCATCCTGCTGCCCATTTGATAGATGAAAAGCCAGAGACTTGAGAAGTTTTGGTGGCATAGGATGCTGTCCTTTTCCACCCAGAGGGCAGCAGCCTCTGCTCATATACCTCCAGGAACAGGAAAATCGCTAACTACTGAGATGGCCCACTAGATTTTTGCTGATGGCTGTTTCCCAAAGTAGTCTGAGGATCAAGTTCCATTCTCCAGGTGAGGCCTTTGGAGACGCAGAGGGATTGAGACCTATTACCCTCTCAACCCAACACTTAGGTTCCAGCAATGCAACCCCTTCCCTGAACAAATGGGGAAACTGAGGTCCTATGGGTGGAGATTCAACACTTCAAATATGGCCTGAGCTAGCTTCTGCACTATGCCATTGTCTCGTGATGAACTTGGAGGCAGCTCTGCCTCCCGAGTCTTCTGCCTTAGCTTGAGGATGAGGTACATCCCCAGCACTCACCACAGGGCTTGGCACACACTAAGTGCTCAGTAAAGAGTGCCTGAAAGAATGACTAAATACAAAAGGGAACCAAGGGTTGACGCTGGGCTGAGGCTGAGGTTGGGGTGTAGCACCAGGCAAGGGTTAAGGCTGGAGGCTAAGGTTTGGATGTAGATCTAGATATTAATAATATTTGGAGTCAGGATGTGGGAGAAGCGCTGAGGTGGGATTGCAGGCAGGACAGAAGAGGAGGTTGGGGATGGTGATAGAATAAGGTCTAGGGTCAGTACTGGGGAGTGTGGAAAGTCAGGGATAAGGCTGGTGTTCATATTAGGAAGGGCACTTTGGTGGATGATGATTGGGGTGGAGTTAGGGCTGCCTGTGAATGTTTGAAGATGGAAGTTGCTATTAGGGGGAGGCTTGATATGTGATTTGGGATTGGGATGAGGGTGGTGATGGAACGAAGTTTGGGGTGGGGATAGAGTGAGGATTGTTTTGGGTTAGAGGAGGGGGAGGTCCGAGCATGGTTCTAAATAATGGTTGGGGTCAGGATGAGGAAATCCAGCTGAGATGGGGTTTCAGGGGGTAGTAGGGTTGATGACGTGGGCATGAGGACGGTAGGGGCTGGAGATTGCTGCTGATGTTCAGGTGGGCACTTGGATGAGGGCTGAGGCTGGGGTGAGGAGCTGAGACTGCAGTGGGGATCAAGGTAGGGTGAGGGCCAGGGCCGGTACCTGAGCCACCACATGTAGCTGTGCTCGTAGGGGAAGAAGCTGTGCGGGTCGTCGCAGCAGTACTTGTGGTCGCGGAAGCCGCAGCAGAAGACAGCGGCCGCCTCGCCCCCCGGCCGCGGGCAGCTGAAGCCGCGCACCACCTCCTGCTCTGCGCTCACGTAGCTCGTGCAGGCACCGCTCATTGCGTCCCGCGCCCGGCCCGCCGCCACCTCGGGCCACCAGACGGCCGGCGAGAGCCCGGCGGGGAAGCGAGGAGCGAGAGGGAGCTGAGTCTGAGAACGCAGAGACGGAGAGACTGAGGGGCCGAGAGAAGCCGACACAGAGACAGAGACAGCAGCGCGGGGCCTCGAGGACCGAGCGGCGGCCAGGTGCGCGGCCCGCGCGGAGGGGAGGCGCGGGCGGGGCGGGCGGCGGCGGCGGGCGGCGGGAGTGACGGCGCCGGGAACGCGGCGGGAGCCGGAGCGGACGCGGGGAGCTGGGCCGGAAGCCTCGTGCTCGCCCGGCTCTGCCTGCGCTTCCCGCCCCCGCCCCACTGCGCTCCTACTGCCTGCACGAGGGCGCTGGGTGCGCAACGACACCACGACGCGGCCAGAGTGGCGGGGCGGGAATTCGAGGCCAGGGCGCGGGCGCCTCACCTGCACCCAACCGGCGCGGGAGTCTTGGGGCATTCGGGGCTGGGGCAGACAGACAAGACACCAGCCGGCGACCACACGGCGGGGTCAGTGAGGAGAATGAACACAACCTCACCCAACTTCCGCAACAACTCAGGGGCCCAGGGGATGTTCGCAGCCGTGTTATAGGTGAGAGCTGAGGGCCAGAGAGCAGCTTAGGAGTCCCTAAGCCCATGAGATTTTAACCAGGGGCGGCCTAGTAGGAAGTCCTTGCGCTTTCTGCGGCTTTCATGGTGCCTCTTTTCCAGCGGGCTTTTAGATGTCCTCGTTTTCTGGAGTCCCCGCTAGTCTCTTTCGCTGAGAGCTAGCTCGTGCACGGACAATGTCCACACTCTTCTGTTCATACTGCCTGCCACTGGCCTGGGACAAGGGGCCGAATATGGGTGTGGACGGGCCCAGATGGTAACCTCCTTCCCCACCCTGACCAGCAAAGCCAGCAGACCTGTCCATTTTGAAAAATTACTTCCAGCGAACAAGGGCAGTATTTTCACTAGCATCAGAGAACCATAGACTGAAGGGGCTCTCAGTGCCTTGGCTTCCCCCGTGTACCCTGTTGCCTTATGCCACCTGGAAGGGCTTCATACAGCACCTTCAGTGCCTTAGCTCTACAAAATTCACAGCAGTGGGTAGGGTAGGAAATAGTTACTGTGATGCCTTGGGCACCCCCGACTCTTTCGCGCTTGCTTTGGACGTGTGGGGAACGGGCCATGGGTATCAGGAAATCTGGGCTCCAGCCCAGCTCTACCCCTTCCCTACTGTTTCTCTCTGAGCTTCGGATTCCTTGTCCTCACCCAGGCCAGCTCCTCAGATGCTGATTGTGCTGCTCCCCTGACCTGGGCCCTAGGGCCCCTGAGAGGGATCAGATCTGGGCCTGCTGTTGAGAAACACAGTCTGATGGAGGAGTCAGACTGACTGACGATCACAGCACAGGGCGGTAAAAAGGGAGATGCAAGGACCTGAACACAGAGGGGCACCGTCTGAGGAAGCAGGGGAGGGCTTTGAGGGAGGTAATGTCCTCAAGAGTCACTGTAAGGTCAAATATGAAGGCTGGAGGGAACTGTTATTATCCTCCAGAACATTCCTCCCCTGAGCTGTGGGTCTGTACAGACTGGGAGCTGGAGAGCCTACACTAATGAGGGTGCACTTCAGCCTCTTTATTTATCAGATGGAGAGTACAGGGGAGGAATGCTCTGGGAGGGAGTGGCTTCCTGGAGGCCTGGAGATCAGCTGGGAGGAAGAAAGCACTCTGCCCTGGCTTTTGGCAAAACTAGGAAGCCTCCAACAATTTCCAAAACCCTCTCCCAGCCAAGAATTAATTTGTTCCTCCCAACAGTCCTCTGGGGTGAGCCAAGCAGGGGTGAATGTGCCTGAAATAACAAGTCCAATGCCACACAGCGATCAATGGCCCAGGCAGGGCTGATACCCATGTCTGTCTCACATGTACCCCTTGGCAGTCTAATGAAGCCTGTGAACCCCTATTCAGACTAATGGGTTTTGTTTTTGTTTTTGTTTTTTGTTTTTTGTTTTGAGATGGAGTCTCATTTTGTCACCCAGGCTGGAGTGCAGTGGCACAATCTCGGCTCACTGCAACCCCCGCCTCTAGTGTTCAAGTGATTCTCCTGCCTCAGCCTCCCAAGCAGCTAGGATTACAGGCACGCGTCACCACTCCTGGCTAATTTTTGTATTTTTAGTAGAGACAGGGTTTCACCATGTTGCCGAGGCTGGTCTCAAACGCCTGACCTCAAATGATCCGCCCACCTCAGCCTCCCAAAGTGCTGGGATTACAGGTGTGAGCCACCACACCAGGCCACAAATAATGCTTTTGACTAGAAAAAAAAATTATTTAGGGTTACAAGGGATACCAATTATATTGAATCATGATTTAGTCCTAGTTTTTAAAAAGTGTCAGTAAGATCTAGAGATGAGTCTATTAATTACTATACTTTTGAAGTGGTGAATGAAAATAACTAGTATTTCAATATGTCTCTGCTATAAAACAATATGAAAATATCTGTGATTTCTATTGGTGACAAAGTCACAAGTACTACTAATACTATCGTGGGTTTTCTTGCCAATATGCATGATGAAAAAAAATACTGAATTTCAGTTGGAGGTAATGCATACCAAGGATGTGATTTTTCCCATGTAAATTATGAACCTTCCGCACTCTATTCAAAGGCTCCTTGGGCTCCGTGGACTCTATGTGAACATCCTTTCATGTCTGTGGTCTGGTTCCTACTTTAATGATTTTTCCTTCATTGTATGCATTGTGTTCCTTCATTCTGTTCTCCTGCAGACACTTATTACAGACCTATGATGTGCCAGGCAATACCCATCCTGTATGTCATGTAGTCCTTGAGAACTTCCCTTGAGGTAGGTGTTAGTCTTCCCATTTTGCAGACAAGGTAACTGAGAGGGAGGTTAAATAATTTACCCACAGCCACGTAGCCAGTAACTGATCAGAGTCCTGTACCGCCTCCTCCTCCCTTCCCAAATGAGGCCTGGGGCCAGAGTCCCCAACTCCAGAAGGGAAAAAACGCATAGGAGGGAAGCGTGGCCAGGGAGAAATATTTATGGAGAACACACTATGAATTGGAAATTGTGCTCTGTGCTTTTCATTATCTCTTTTAATCTTTACACCAACTATGTGTAGTATTACTCTCTCCATTAAGAAAAAGATAGGCCAGGTGCAGCAGTTCATGCCTGTAATCCCAGCACTTTGTGGGAGTCTGTGGCAGGAGGATTGCTTGAGCCCAGGAGTTTAAAATCAGCCTGGGCATGGTGGCATGCACCTGTAGTCCTAGCTACTTGGGAGGCTGAGGCAGGAGGATCACCTGAGCTCAGGAGTTTGAGGCAGCAGTGAGCTATGATGGTGCCATTGCACTCCAGCTTGTGACAGAGTGAGATGACACCCTGTCTCTAAAAAAAAAAAAGAAATAAGAAAAAATAACAAAATGCATATTCATTATAAAGCAACAAATTAGAAAATAAAGATAAACCAAAAGGAAAAATAAAAATCACCCATAATTTCACCACACAGAAATATCTATCATACACCCCCAAACCCTGCCCCCATGCACACAATTATGTGCCCACTTTATGGGTAGGAAAACTGAGACCAAGAGAGGTTAAGTAACTTGCTCAGGGATCTACAAGTCAGAAATTCCAGTCACTTTCTTTGTGAGCTTAGGCTGGTCACGGTCACTTTCCCTCTCTGCATATAGGACACTAGCTAAGATTACTCCAGATTGAGGATCCTAAAGTCTGGTACTGGGCCAGCCTTAACAGGACTACCTTCTGCAGGATACACAAAACAGTGCCCTCAAGACCTTGGCAGCTTTTGCTCCAGGAGCCGAGTTCCCTCAGGGAGGGTCGGTAAAGAAATGTCCCCTCCCTGTGGTCTGCTGCACAGCCCAGTGACCACAATCCTGGGGACAACCCCTGGCTGGAAGAGCTGGTTCTGCTAGTGTCACATGGCAACCAATGGCCCAGGCAGAACTAGTACCCTAGCTGTGTGTGTGGTCCGCGGCGGGTCCCTGGCCTCTGGCCCCGGCAGAGCAAGAGCAGCCCCTCCTCTTCCCCTCCGCCCTGGCTGCACTGGCCTGAGAGCGTGAACATGTCCACGGAGCTTTCCCCCAGCCAGGATCGGGTACCAGCTTGCAGTACCAGCTTCTGCAGCTGGAGAAGCAAAGAAAGCATGTGATGTGCATCAAGTCCCTCTGAGTGCCTGGTCAGGAAGGATGCTTCTCTTTTCTTCTGGAATGAGGCTTTTGTGTCTTGATTGGAGAGAAGCGACCTACATGGTTGGACAGCAAATCCAGGGACAAACCAGTGGCCCACATACCAGCCAGGCTCTTCCTCACTCTTTGTGGCCATGCTTTCCGTTTAGGTCTTCGTTGGTTTGCTGTCTGTTTGTTTTACTAGGCAATCTTTCAGGCACACAAAAAGCGACATGAATAATAATACAGGGACCACCCACATAGTTTACAAAATAAAAAAATTGGCTGACTCTGGGTTCGCTGCTTGGGAGTTAGCCCTGCTCTGAAAGAAACAACTTAAAAAATAAAAAATAAATAAAATAAAATGTAAAAAAAATTGATTGATCCAGTTTGAAGTCCCTTGCATACTCCTCCCTCCTCCGCAAGAGGTACTGCACTCCTGAATTTGGTATTTATTATTCCCATATTCTTATTTATGCTCACATATGCATGGATCTTTGAGCAATGTGTGGAATTGCTTTGCATGTAATTAAATTTTAAATAAATAGCATCATGCTGCATGCATTCTCTTGGAACCTGCTTTTTCACTCAGTCTTCTATTTGCAAGCTTTGTCTATACTGATGTGTACACTCTCTTTAGCTTATTCATTATGCTATATCGTTCTCCAGTTATTGAATATGTGGTTATTTATTATCCATTCTCTTGGACATTTAGGTTTCTTCCATTTTTTTTTTTTTTTTTTAAAGACAGAGTCTTGCTCTGTCACCAGGCTGGAGTGCAGTGGTGCGATCTCAGCTCACTGCAAACTCTGCTTCCTGGGTTCAAGTCATTCTCCTGCCTCAGCCTCCTGAGTAACTGGGATTACAGGCACCCACCACCATGCCCAGCTAATTTTTGTATTTTTAGTAGAAACCAATGGGTTTCACCATGTTGGCCAGGATGGTCTCGATCTCCTGACCTTGTGATCTGCCTACCTCGGCCTCCCAAAGTGCTGGGATTACAGGCGTGAGCCACAGCGCCTGGCCGGTTTCTTCCAATTTTTTATTACTATTTCAAACAATGATACTTTTTTGAGTTTTTTTTTTTTTCTTTTCTTTTAAAATCAATTTA